GACAGAAGAGGCTGTCAGATCCCCTGGAACTGGAGTTACAGACAGTTGTTAGCTGCCATGTGGGTGCTGGGATCCGAAGCCAGGTCTTCTGCAAGAACAGCCAGTGTTCTTAACCGCTGAGCCATCTCTCCATCCCCCCAGGTTCTTTTTAAAGGTTTTTCTTTTTATTTATGTGTATGTGTGTGCATCTGTGTGTATGTATGCACTTGTGTATCTTGGTTCCCTGGGAAGCCAGAAGAGGGCATTAGATCCCCTGGAACTTGAGTTATAGGTAGCTGTGAGTCACTTGACATGGATCCTGGGAATCAAACTTGGGTCCTCTAGGAGCAGCAAGCTCTCTTAACTGCTGAAACAGTTCTCCGGCCCTGAAATTGCCATTGGTATACATCAAAATTGGTCAACTGTTAGCAGGAATAAGATTTAGCCTAATAGGGAATGATAGAGCTGGGATCAAAGTACTATCTGAACTCAAAGTCCATGCTTTCTTCTGTAAAAAAAGATAGCCAGGCTGGGCGTGGTGGCGCATGCCTTTATTCCCAGCACTCAGGAGGCAGAGGCAGGTGGATCTCTGTGAGTTCAAGACCAGCCTGGTCTACATAGTGAGTTCCAGGCCAGCTGGGGTACAGGGGAACCCTGTTTCAAAAAGACAAAAAAAAAAAAAGATAGCTGGGCATGTTGGCACACACCTTTAATCCCAGCACTTGGGAGGCAGAGGTAGGTGGATCTTTGTGAGTTTGAAGCTAGCCTGGTCTACATAGCAAGTTCCAGGCCAGCTGGTGCTACAGGGAGACCCTGTCTCACAAAGACCAAAAAAAAAGGGGGGGGGGCAGGTATCAAAATGGTTCAGTAGATAAAGGCACCTGCTGCTAATCCTAATGACCTGAGTTCAGTCTCCAGAACCTACAAGTTGTCCTCTGACCTCCACAAGCATGCCCGGTGGTGGTGGTGGTGGGGGGGGAATGTATCCTTCTCCCTACACACAAAATAAATAAATAAAATGTAATAAAAATTTTTTGAGACAGGGTCTCTTTGTAACCCCAACTGGCCTAGATGGACCTCACTGTGTAGACCAGGTTGGTGACAGAAATTGGCAGGGAAGGTGGATCAGTCAGTAAAGTGTTTGCCATGCAAGTACGAGGACCTGAGTTCTGATCTCCAGCACACATGTAAAAAGCTAGACAGAGCAGCAGCATGCATCTGCAATCCTGGTGCTGGGTTATTTGAGACAGGAGGATCCCCAATTCACTGTCCTACCGGCCTAGCCAAATTGGTGAGCTCCAGGTTCAGTGAGAGACCCTGTCTCAAAAAAAAAAAAAAAAAGTGTGAGAATAAGGAACAAAGACACTAAACATTGACCTCTGATCTCCACACACATGCACAGGTACTTGCATGTGCACACACACACACACACATACACTACGACATGGACACACACACAATTACCCCAGGTATGGTGGCTCCGGCCTGTAATCCCAGTACTCAGGAGGTAAAGGCAGGAGGATCAAAGTTCAAGGCCAGCCATTGACATATAATGAATTTGAAGATTCCTGAGCTACCTGTGACCCTGTTTTGAGAAAAAAAAAATGTTAGCAAGGAATGGGGTGCTTGCCTATCATCCTAGTGTCTGTAAATCCTTACATCTCCTTAAATTTGACACCTAGGGCTGTAGAGATAGCTCAGTGGTTAACAGCACTTGCTGCTCTTGCAGAGAACCTGGGTTTGATCCCCAACAACCACATCTGGAGGGTCATAACCACCTGTAACACCAGTTCCAGGGAGATCTGATGCCCTCTTTGGGCCTCTTCAGACACTGCATGCATGTGGTACACATAGACAAGCAGGCACACACACAAGTACACATTAATAATAATAATAATAATAATAATAAGGTTCTTGAAGTATTTAAAAAAAATCTGATGCTAGCACTGGGGAGGCTGAGACAGGAAGATTGTGAATTCAAAGCCAACCTAGGCTGCATATGAAACCTAGTCTCACAAAACAAGCAAGCAAAAATTGTTTACTGTCCCCATGCTGATGGCAGAAAATATAAACACTGAAAATAAAACAGGCAGACATCCCCCACAGCCGGCACCTCCCCACCCAGAGGACGTATCCTGGGAGGAGAAAAGCCCTGTAGGATCTCCTGCCTCTGCTTCCATTCCATCAGGATGCCAGGAAATGAAGACTTCGGCCCTCTGTTCCTACTACCACAGAGCTGCCTGCCGCCATGACTCCCGCATCACGAGGGACCAAATCCCCTCAGTGTTCATTTGGAAACCACACACAGATGGGAACATACACCTTTCTGGGAATTGCATCCTTTGGCTTTCTGTTGGCTGGAGCTGGAGATCAGCTGGAGATATATTTGGAAAATTGCCAAAGGTGCAAGACATGTTTAAGCGGAATGTAAGACCAAGGTCTTCACCATCATGGTTGTGTCATTTGGCTCTGTCCTCAGGCTCATGAGTAGATCAAGGTGGGAGTGGCCTGGACGCCATTTATTTTGAGGTTATCACTATAACGGGTGTGCTGATCAGTTGGGCCGGATACTAAATATCCAGATCTCTACAAGCCTGTCCTGTGATTTTGGATCCTTGGTTCCCTGCTTCCTTTGCTGCTGTCCTGAGCAAGATTGGAGACCGGCTTTGAGTGAGAGCTAAAAAGACAGAGGAAGAGGTGGGAGTATCAAAAGCACATGCTACTGAGCCGACAGCCAGGCCACAGCCAAGTTCAAAAATTCCAGGAAATGGCTGAGTGTGGAGATCCAGCACCCCACTCCATGAAGCACAAGTTCTCTCTGTGGAGCTACCTAGAAACCTCCACCAGGAGCTGACCTCCCCTGGAACTGTGAACACCTGACTATCGGGAGGGACTTCTGGCCTCCTTCACTGAAGACAAGAACATCTTTCTGAACCACCTGACATCATACTATGCTGGGAAAGAGATGGCTGTGACAGAGAACATTCTTTAGGAAGAGCCTTAGGTACAGCCTTAGGGGAGGGCTCTCTATGCTCTCTTGGACTACATTTGTGCAGCATTTTAAACATTGTGCATGAGATCAAAGGTGAAAGCAAACACTTGTAAGACATTTACTTAATTAGTAGAAGGACAAGCAATGTCTGATGGCTTTTTTTTTTCTTTCCCCCAGACTGTCTCCCTCCCCTCTTCCTTAATGTGTCAAGGCCCCAGAATGATTTGGGGTTGTTTTTAGTGATAATGTTGTTTGGAAGAGTTTATACTTCTGAGAGTTTACCTAACTGAAGCCGGACAGAGACCACTTATGAGTAATATTTTCTTTTGTAAACAGCAAGAAATTCTTCCTCCCCCTTTTAAGAATTTTCCTGTCAGTGCCTTATCCGATGAAGTAGGGCCTGACTGTAGTTCTTCCTCCCCCATTCCCACCCCAAGTGTAGCTTGCAGTCTTTTAGTTCTGTTGTATTGTGTGTTTGAATGCCATGCCTTGCTGATAATGGCCAAAGAAGGAATATGCATGAAATTAGAAGGGCACTGAAAGCCAGGTGTGGGTGCTGGAGAGCTGGCACGGGGGTTAAGAACATTTGGTGCCCTGCCGGAGGATCCAGGTCAGTTTCCAGCATCCATGTCAGGCAGCTCACAACTACCTGTAACTCTAGTTCCAGGGGATCAGAAGCCCCCCTCTGACCTCTTCAGGCACCTATACACCCTTGGCATATACACACAGACACACAAATAAAAATAATAGAAATAGCCGGCGTGGTGGCGCATACCTTTAATCCCAGCACTCGGGAGGCAAAGGCAGGTGAATCTTTGTGAGTTTGAGGCCAGCCTGGTCTACATAGTGAGTTCCAGGAAAGCTGGGGCTACAAGGAGACCCTGTCTCAAAAAGACAATAATAATAATAATAATAATAATAAGAGAAATAATTTTTTTTTTAAAAAAAGCTAAGTATGGGGGCTGGAGAGATGGCTCAGAGGTTAAGAACACTGTTCTTGCAGAAGACCCAGGTTTGAATCCCAGCACCCACATGGCAGCTAACAACTGTCAGTAACTCCAGTTCCAGGGGATCCAACGGTCTCTTCTGTCCTCCAAGGGCATTGCATGACATGGGTGCACTTACCTACATGCAGACACTTACCATGTGCATTCCTGGTGCCCATAGAGAACAGAAGAGGGCATTGAATCCCCTGGAACTGGTATTACAGACAGTTGTGAATCCTTTCTTTCTTTCTTTCTTTCTTTCTTTCTTTCTTTCTTTCTTTCTTTCTTTCTTTCTTTCTTTCTTTCTTTCTTTCTCTCCCTCTTTCTTTCCTTCTTTCTTTCTTTCTTTCTTTCTTTCTTTCTTTCTTTCTTTCTTTCTTTCTTTCTTTCTTTCTTTCTTTCTTTCTTTCTTTTCTTCTTTCTTTCCTTCAACAGAGTCTCCCTATAGCCCCAGCTGGGTCTGGAACTCACTATATAGACCAGGCTGGCCTTGATTTCACAGAGGTCCACCTGCATCTGCCTCCTGAGTGCTGGAATTAAAGACATATGTCACCACGCCTGGCCACCTGCTTTGACACTTTTTTCTAAGAAGATGATTTGGCTTGTGCCAATAGGAGCTCTGAGCCTACCTCTGCCTTCTCTTTTCTGTATAACTTGGACCAAGCTATTCAGCTGCTGTGACTTTAGTGTACATGACCTGGGTGGAACCCAATCCTCAATTGCCAAGCAATTACCTTCACACTATAAGGATGATGTGCCAGGCAGGGACCATGACTCTGTGCTTAGCCATGATATTGCTCTTATTCAACCAAGTCATTGCTCCATTTCCTGTGCTCACACTTGGTCCCTGCCTGAAGTGCTTAGCCAGCATTCCCTTATCTAACCCTCACCTCAGCCCTGTATGCTCTGTATGTTTTACCCCATTATTCAGATAAGATATTTGAAGCCCCAAACAGCAAGCTCCCTGAATGTCCCTTTCAGTGGCCATTCTGTCAAACTCTCACTTCATCCCTTCCCCTTTATTTCACCCCCCAACCCCCCAGTTCTCCAGGATTTGACCCTTATGGCAGCTCTGGGTTTTGGCTTCCTTTCCTCAACTTTTCGGAGACACGGCTGGAGCAGCGTGGCCTTCAGCCTCTTCATGCTGGCCCTCGGGGTACAGGGGACAATCCTGCTAGACCACGTCCTGCGCCAGCCCTTCCACTGGAATGTGGCCATCAATCTGTCCAGGTAACTGACAGCAGCTGGGTTACCTTGGGTGCTCAGAGTGTGCGGTCAAAGAGGGAAGGTTCTAGAAGAGCCAGGACATCTCCCTCTCTTTTTAATACTAATGCCACAAAATACTTAGGACAAACTTTTTCTAAAAGATTATTCATTGTTATTATTTTATTTTATTTTTTATTTTATTTTATTTTATTTATTTATTTTGGTATTTTTGAGACAGGGTCTCCCTATAGCCCCAGCTGTCCTGGAGCTCACTATATAGACCAGGCTGGCCTTGAACTCACAGAGATCCGCCTGCCTCTACCTCTGCCTCTGCCTCTGCCTCTCGAGTGCTGGGATTAAAGGCATGCACCACCACACCCGGCTAGTTATTTTTTATTTTATTTTATGTGTATGCGTGTATTGCCTGCATGTAGGTAAGTGCACCCATGTCATGCAATGCCCTCGGAGGACAGAAGAGGCTATCGGATTTCCTGGAATTGGAGTTACAAACAGTTGTTAGCTGCCATGTGGGTGTTGGGATTCAAACCTGGGTCTTCTGCAAGAACAGCCAGTGTTCTTAACCACTGAGCCATCTCTCCAGCCCCTATTCATTGTTATTATTGATGATGATTGTATAAAGTTATGCAATCAATATAAACTAATAGAAAAATTGAGAAAATGATTAGACAAAAAAAATCATAAATGTCACCAGGCGCGATGATGCACACTTTTAATCCCAGCACTCGGGAGGTAGAGGGCAGGCAGATCTCTGTGAATTGAAGGTCAGTCTGGTCTATATAGCGAATTCCAGACCAGCTGGGGCTACAGGAAGACCCTGTCTCAAAAAAAAAAAAAATCAGTAATGTCACCCCCAGAGAGGTAGTCTCTTTGATTTTATTTATTATTTCATTTGTATTTTATGTGTATGAGTGTTTTGTCTGTGTATATATAAATGTACCACAAGCATGCAGTACCCACAAAGACAGCAATGGATCCCTTGGAACTGGAGTTACAGGCTGTTGTGAGATGTCATGTAGGTGCTGGAAACTAACAAGCCTGGGTCCTCTGTAAGAGCAGCCAGTGCTCTTAACTGCTGAACTAGCTCTCCATTTTAAGAAACAATCTCTTAAAAAGATGGAAGGAAGGGTTGGGAGTTTAACTCAGTGGTAAAGCAGTTGCCTAGCATGTTCTATCCCCAGCACTACAAGGAGAGACTGTAGGAAGAGGAAGAGCAGGAGGAAGAGGAAGGAAGAACTCTCGATCCTCAGATGCAAGCAGACAAGAAGTAGTCATCCTTGCATTTTCTTTAAACTAACATTGATCCCTGTAAATGCACTTATGTGAGATGGTACAAAGTGTCGAAACTGCAGTGGAACTAGAAGTCAGAGGTGGTTACCTAGGCAACCAGTGAGTGTTGATAAGGAAGGAACATCACTTAACCTGTGTGCTCAGTAAACATTCTCTGTATTAACCTAGATGCAGAGGGAGATTAGTTGATAGATAGCAGAGAGATGGATAGATGGATAGATGATAGATAGGATAGATAGATGATAGAAGATAGACAGACGCAGACAGACAGATAGGCAGACATGATATATGATTAATAGGTAGATATGATAGATGATTGATAGATTACAGGTGATGGATAGGTGATAGATGATTGATAAATAGATAACAGACAGACAGACACATTAATGTGGAGCTCTATACTTAAAAAAGGCACTAACAGGGGGCTGGAGAGATGGCTCAGTGCTAAGAGAACTGACTGCTCTTGCAGAAGACCTGGGTTCAATTCCCAGCACCCACATGGCAGCTACAAACTGTCTTTAACTCCAGTTCCATGGGAATCCGAAGCCCTCTTCTGACCTCCATAACATTGCATGACATGGGTGCACTCACATACATGCAGGCAACACACTCATACACATAAAATTTTAAAAAAATTTTTAAATTTGAAAATTAAAGCCAGGTGTGATGGCGCACGCCTTTAATCCCAGCGCTCGGGAGGCAGAGGCAGGCAGATCTCTGTGAGTTCGAGGTCAGCTTGGTCTCCATAGTGAATCCAGGCCAGCTAGGGCTACAGGGAGACCCTGTCTCAAAAAAAGTATAAAAAAAATAAAAATTAAAAAAGGCACTAACAGGACTGGAGAGATGACTCAGCAGTGAAGAATATTGGCTGCTCTAGCAGAGGATCTGGGTTCAAGTCCCAGCACCCACATGGCAGCTAACAACTGTCCTAACTCCAGTTCCAGGGGATCTAACGCCCTCTTCTGACTTTCGAGGGCATTACACATGTGTGATAGACTCACATGTGCAGGTAAAACACTCATTCACATAAAATAAAAATACAGGGTTTTTTTTTGGTTTTTTTGAGACAGGGTCTCCCTGTAGCCCCAGCTGGCCTGGAACTCTCTGTGTAGACCAGGCTGGCCTTGAACTCACAGAGATTTGCCTGCCTCTACTTCCCAAGTGCTGGGATTAAAGGTGTGTACCCTCACGCCCAGTTTAAAAATAAATATTTTTTTAAAGAAATTTTTGTTGTTGTTTTATCCAACTCTGAATCTCTCCTGCCCAGGTGGTGGTAATCCCACCTGAGGCCCTGTCCAGGCCATCCCAGCATCCCCTCTAAGGCTAAGCTCAGCCTTCTGGGTCTTGTCCGTGAACAGCAAACTCTCTCTAAGTCCAAGCATTGTGGTGAACACTTTACAGACACTGTTTAGCCTTTCCAGGACAGGGTCCAACGTCAAATATAGTTAAGAAAATAAAGGCTCAGAGAGGGAAAGGCACTTGGCTGAAGGCATGCAGTTCAGTGGTAGGGAAGGCTTTGGATTTGAACTTTCTTTCACTCTCTCCATACATTCCAGAGTGATTTGACATGGAACAGTTCATTCCTTTGTGTGTTTTTTTAAAATCTGTTTTACTCATCTGTTTGTGAGGCAGGGTCTCACTGTATACCCCTGTCTCTCTTGGAACTTACTATGTAGAACAGGTTGACTTCAAACTCATACACATTCACCCTCCTCTGACTTCCAAGTGCTGGGATTAAAGGTGCATGCCACCATACCTGGCCCTAGTTTGTTACTTTTTAAAAGTTTTAGAGGGCTGGGAACGTAGCCGAGTTAGTAGAGAGCTTGCCCAGCATGCAGAAGCTCTGGGTTTGATTCCTGCTACTACAAAAACTGTACATGATGGAGCACTCTGTAATCTCAGTACCAGCCCTTGAGAGGTAGAGGCAAAAGGATCAGTAGTTCAAAATCACTTTCAGCTACACAGTAAGTGTGAAGTCAGCCTGGGCTACATAAGACCATGTCTCAAAAACGGGGGTGGGGGCTGGAGCAATGGTTCAGCAGTTAAGAGCTCTTGCTGTCCTTCCAGAAGACCCAGGTTCAGTTCCTACCATCCACATTGAGTCTCACAACCACTTGTAACTCCAGCTCTAAGTCATTCAACACCCTCTTCTGGCCTCTGTGGGTACCCACACACAGGTGGCATACGCATACACATACACATATGGACACACAAACATATACATGAAAATAGCATATAGTGGCCAAGCATGGTGGCTCACACCTTTAATCCCAGCACTTGGGAGGCAGAGGCAAGTAGATCTCTGTGAGTTCGAGGCCAGCCTGGTCTACATAGTGAGTTTCAGGCCAGCTGGGGCTACAGGGAAACTGTCTCAAAAAGACCCCCCCAAAACGGAAAATAGCATATAGTTCTTTTTTTTTTTAAGTTTAGAACTAATGCCCCAGGGGATTGGCTACTCCGTGGAACATGTCAAAGGGCAGCCTGGGGAATCCTGAAAGTGACTGGGCTGGGGTTTCTGTTGCCTTGATTTAAGGTCACATAGTCATCAGTCCTTGGTACCCAGGCAAAGTGCAACAGGGGCATTTCAGGACTGATCCCCTATGATAGCCGCAGGGTGGATATACCACTGGGTGGTACTTGGAAGCCACTTGGATCCTCCCAGCCGGGACCAAGCTGGAACTGGCTTTAATAGATTTGAACAGTGGCACCCTCCTGACCGGCAGGCCAGGGCTAGGCTGGTGGGCTGTACCTGCCCTGCTTCCTGCCTTGGGAACAAGATCCCCTATCTCCCCAGCCTCACTCAAACTTGAGCTACTTGGCTTGGCCCCAAATGGGTTCTACCTTGAGTCCTTACAGGGCAGGGCCTACCCATTCCCCACACAGTAAGGACTTGGTAATGTTAACTGAAATAAAAATGAAAACAAAGGAATCCCTAAGTGAGTGTTATTTTTTTTCCCCTTGTGTTGGGGATCAAATCAAGGCCTTGTACACACCAGGCAAGCATTCTGCCACTGAGCTGCACCCCAGCTCTTGGTGATTTGTTTGTTCTATTGGGACAAGGTCTCATATATCCCAGACTGGCCGTCAGTTCACTGTGCAGCTGAAAATGTCTTGAAGCTCTTGCTCTTCCTGCCTTCACCTCCCCAGCGTTGGGACCACAGGTGTGCAGCACCACATCAGGTTTATGAAATGCTGGGGTCTGAGCCCAGGACTTCATGCATACTAGGCAAGCACTCTGCCAACTGTATCTCTGGGCCCCAGGAATTTCATAATATATATTATATATATATATATATCATTTATTTGTATTTTATGTATATGAGTGTTTTACCTGCATGTATGTAAGTGTGCTGTATGTATGCAATGCCCGTAGAAGCCATAGAAGGGCACTGGATTCCCTGAAAGTAGAGTTATAGACGGTTGTTAGCCACCCTGTGGGTGCTGGGAATTGAACCTGGGTCCTCTGCAAGAGCAGCCAGTGTTCTTAACTGCTGAACCATCTCTCCATCCCCAACAAGTCATATTTTAATAGTGTATTCTGAAAGCTTCCAGGAGACACTGGCTAGAAGATCCTGGCAGTGCTCAGCCCTCTGGTTGCACTGAACTGTGCTCAAGCATTCTGCTCTTATGACAACCCCCGAGCCACTGCCTCCACCCGAAACACGAAGGCACTGAGGCACAGTGTACCCACGTTTCCACCATCGGAACGTAGCTGAGTTGTGACTCTTAAACACCTTACTTCAAGGTCTTGGCACCTCTGGCTGCAAACTGGCACAATGTCTAAAATCCCATATCTGGCCATCTGCCTTGAAATGATCCTGTCAACTAGGTAAGCTTGTCCAGGTGTGATGACATCCTTAGTTGCCCACATGCTGAGTAGCTCTTGGTCCTTGAAGGTCCCTTCCCCATGCTCCTTGGCCGGTCTTTCCCTTCACATCCTTGAGAGTCATGTAGGACACTATGACCACAGTGAACCAAGTGGGGAAGCTGTGCCCAGACTTGAGAACACCAACTTTAGATCCAGGGGGGCTGGAGTTGAACCTCAAGTTTGTCATTAGTTGCAGTATGGCTATCCTAGTCTCAGTGCCCTCTTCTGCACAGTGAGGGGACACCATGGTAACCTACATAGAGCCAGCTGACAGAGAACTGGCATTTAACTGAACAGGTGTTCTCACTAGCCTCTTTCTTAAAAAAAAAAAAATTTTTTTTTTTTTGGTCTTTTTGAGACAGGGTCTCCTGTAGCTGCAGCTGGCCTGGATTCACTATGGAGACCAGGCTGGCCTTGAACTCAGAGATCTGCCTGCCTCTGCTTCCTGAGTGCTGGGATGAAAGGCATGTGCCACCACACCACGCTCAGCTTTAAAATGTATTTTTTATTGATTTATTATTATTTTGTGTATGAGTGTTTTGCCTGCATGTATGTAAGTGCACCCATGTGTGTAATGCCTGTAGAGGCCAGAAGAAAGTATTGGATCAACCTGGAACTGGAGTTACAGATGGTTGTTAGCCACCATGCGGGTGCTGGGACTCAAACCTGGGTCCTCTGGAAGAACAACCAGTGCTCTTAACCACTGAGTCATTGCTCCAGCTCCTTCACCAGCCTCTTAAGAGCATCAGGATTCTAGATGACAGTCAGAGGGTCACAGCAGCTTTATCAACTCCCTGGGGAGGAGAGGCCACAGAGGAGAGAGAGTCTGCTCAGCTCTGTGACACTTCCTCCAGAAAGCCCTCCCGAGTGAGTCCAGCTGGCACTGCCCTCTCTTTTCAGGGAACCCTATTGCATGCTCAGATGTTCTTAGTCACAGGTTCATGGCAGCCATACCTCCCCAGCAGAATCAGAGGCACTTTGAAGACATAAACGGTTTTCTCTCCCCAATCCCTACTGAGCTTACACATATGTCAAGAGGAGGAATTGATGATAGTGTTCATGATGCCAGCTTCTGCTCATGCATACACTCTTCAAGTGCCAGTCTTGGTGCTAGCTACACACAGTGAAAGACTTCCTTCTAACCCTCACCACGCCACCACCGGGAGATAAATACTCATTCTTGTTTTGCAGGCAGAGAAACAGGCGTTGTGAGATCAAGTGGCTGCTAGGGTGGCAGAGCTGGGATGGGATAGGCTTGTCCTACTTCTAAACCCAGTCTCCGCTACCAGGAGAGGGGTGAGGATGGCAGTGGGTCAGCAGGTGCAGAGTGCCCTCTATTGAATGTTTCCAAGTAGTGACCACAGAAAAGAAATGTAGGATGGGACACAGAATCCAGGTTGTTCTGTCCCAGGGAGAGAAGCAGCTGATTAGATGGGTGGTGACAATGTAGGAGAGCCTCTGTGCAGCACAGGTGCTACCCTGGTGAGGGACAGGGCAGGAGACCCTCACTCTGTAGCAATTTCTGCGGATGGGTGGGCCCTCATTTTTGTTCCCTTGTTGTGTCCTCAGTACTTTGAGCAGTGACAAACAGAGCCTTCCTCATAGCGCTCTCCCCCCCCCCCGCTCTCTCCCTCAGTGTCCGGGTTGCCACCCTGAGCACCATGCCGGTGCTCATCTCTGCAGGTGCCGTCCTGGGGAAGGTCAACTTGGTGCAGCTGGCAGTGATGGTACTGGTGGAGGTGACGGCTTTCGGCACCACCAGGCTTGTTGACAAGCTGATCTTCCATGTGAGTCTGGAGCTGTGAGGGGGGACCTTGGGGAAGGTGGGGATGCAGGGCACTATGTCCCCTTTGATGACATTTTTGAGTTTTAAAAAACATCTAAAGGCTCAAATGGAGTTGCAAAGTGTTAGTCTTTGCCAAATGTTAAACACAGCAAAAGACATTCAACTTCCAAAATATGAACCTGTAGGTTGTACCAGTCTCAGGATTATTATGGGTGAATTCTCAGAGTCCTGCTGGCAGTGTCCAGTGGGCTGGATGTGGATCGTCTTCCTTTAAACCAGTCAGTGTGTGTCAGCGATGTCCTCTGTCACTGGGAAAGAGGGTGGAAAGTCTGGGGCTCTTCTCCTTCATTTGATACCAATCCAAATGGTCCCAGCTCCTCTACCCAAATCCTGACCCTGACCTGGCCCTGAGTGTTGATACAGCTGCCTTCCCACCCCCAAATGAGAAAACCAAAACCCAGAGAGGGGAAGGAACTGCCCCAAATCACACAGCAGCGGTGCAGTTGGACACACGTGAACACTAGAGTCCCAGCCTGTGTTAGGAGAAAAAGCACTGGTCTTGGTGCCGAAGACCGGGGTGTGCACCCCCAGCTCAGCTTGGCCCCCAGCACAGTCCCTGTGATACCAGTCACTTTAATTTCTTGTAACTTCAGTCTTTTCATCCGCTCTGGATGTTGGCACTCCTGCCTCAGAGGTCTGGGAAGTACCTGCATTATTTCACCAACATGACACAGATCTTCAAAATCAAAAAGTTCAAAGGCCTGGAGAAGTGGCTCCGTGGCTAAGAGCTTTGCTACACAAGCATGAGGACTGAGTTCAAATCCCCAGCGCTAGTGTAAAAGCTGTTGCGCATGTACCTGTAAACCCCAGCACTGAGGATGGTAGAGACAAGAGGGATTATTGGGGTTTGCTGGTTGCCAGTCTAGCTCTAGGCTCACTGAGAAACCCTGTCTTAAGGAAATAAAGCAGAGAAGGATTGAGTAGGACACCTGATGTCTTCCTCTGGCCTCTACATGCATCTGTATACACACATGCACACATACCACTCACAGAAAGAAAGAGAGAGAGAAAGAAGAGCATGAAGCCTCTTGTCTGTACCCAATGTCAGGACTTTGGATTTACTGAGAACTATAGGAGTTGGAATAGAGGACAGACTTTTTTAAAAAATATATTTTATTATGCTGGGCATGGTGGCACACGCTTTTAATCCCAGCACTTGGGAAGCAGAGGCAGGCGGATCTTTGTGAGTTCAAAGCCAACCTGGTCTACATAGTGAGTTCCAGGACAGCTCGGGCTACAAGGAGACCCTGTCTCAAATAAGACAAAAAAAAATTTATTATTACTTTTTTTATTGTGTGTATTGCCTGCATATAGGTAAGTGCACCCGTGTCATGCAATGCATGCGGAGGACAGAAAAGACTGTTGGATCCCCTGGAACTGGAGTTACAGACAGTTGTTAGCTGCCGTGTGGGTATTGGGATTCGAACCCAGATCTTCTGCAAGAACATTCAGTGTTCTTAATCACTGAGCCATTTCTCCAGCCCCAAGGACAGATGTTTTAACACAACCAACCTGGCTGCCCAACTTAGAGCAAACTGCAAGAGCAACAGAGAGGAAACTGAAGGGGAACCAGAGAGGAGGCCCCACCCGACCACTGTGCACCAGCAAGTTCCCTGGGGAGGTTGGTGGGAAGTGGCTGGCTTCCAAAGGCGGAACTGGCAGAGTCTGCTTCTGAGCTGCAACTAGGTGTGAAGGTGAAGGTCATGGAGGATCCCAAAGCTTAGCTCTGGAGTAACTAGCTGGTTGATGAGGGCACTGATGAGATAGGACTGCTGGCATAGATCTGAGAGGGCAAAGTCAGGCTTCAGCTTTAATAGTAGAAGGGCTAGGGAGAGGGGGACGGTTGGAGACTGTGTAGGGACATCCCAGTGGGGACACTGCAAGTCTGAAGCTTAGCTGAGCAGGTTTTGAGAAGGGAGGGCAGGTGTTTAGAGTCAGGAGACCCAGGGAGGGGATGGTGAGCAGAGAGAGAGAGGTGCACTCACCCTGTTGCACTGAGTTAGAGATGAGGGCGTGAGGAAGAACCAGCCAACATGACTGATCATGGCAGAGAGGTAGGAGGATACTGAAAAGGGCTGGCGAGCTGGAAGGCAAGTGAAGGTGTAAGGTGGGTCTAGTGCTGCTGGTGGGTCAGGTAGGATGTGTGCTAGCAACTGGCCATTGGATGTGACAAGGGAACCTGACAAGTAAATCTAGAAAGGGGTGGGGCAAGAGTCTGTGTTTGACTCAAGATTAGGGGATGAGGGAGTGAGAGTTGTGCAGGGGCACCCAAACCTCCCAAGGATCGTCTGTAAAGAGTACAGAGAAGCCTGGCATGGTGGCTTCTACCTGAAATCATAGCACTTGGTAGGTGGAAGCAGGAACACCTGGAGTTCAAGGTCATGCTTGGCTACATTGTGAGTTTGAGGCTATCTTGGGCTACATGAAACCCTGCTGCCAGTGGAACAGTGTCCTCTTGAACTCTGAACAGCTTTAAGTTGCTCATGTTCCTGTAAATAACCTAAACTAACCCCCTGATCCACCAGGTTGCACACACATGGGTAGAAGTCTCTTGTTTCTGTCACTATGGCCTATCTGAGGTGGTAGCAGACATTTATTCACTTTGTTTATGTCTCCTCAGAAAAAGCTGACACAACAGGCCTGTTGAGAGAGAGAAAGGGAGGGTAGGGGGAGGATACAGGAGGAGGGAAGGGTAGAAGAGAAGAGATAGAGAGGAGAGAAAAGATGATGGAGTCGATGATGGGATACAGAATGAGATGAAAGGAGACTTTGTTTATTAAAATGGGTGATGATTAGCGTTCAGGAGAGTAAATTGGGGGCTGGATAGATGACTCAGCAGTTAGGAACTCACAACTGTCTGTGTCTCCAGCTACAGGAGGACTGGACTGGATACTTGCACAGACACTGCACTTACGTGACCCCCCCCCATACACATAATTAAAACTGAAAAATAAATCTTTTATTTCTTATTTTTTTAATTTTTTAATTTTTTTTTTATGTGTATGTGTGAATTGCCTGTATGTAGGTAACTGCACCCATGTCGTGCAATGCTGGTAGAGGTCAGAAGAGGGCTTCGGATTCCCCTGGAACTGGAGTTAAGGGTAGTTCATAGCCATCATGTGGGTGCTGGGAATCAAACCTGGGTCCTCTGCAAGAGCAGTCAGTGCTCGTAACTGCTGAGCCATCTCTCCAGCCCCCTGAAAAATAAATCTTAAAGTTTAGAGAGAAGGGCTTAAAGAGATAGCTTAGTGGTTAAGAGTAGGTCCTGATCTTGCAGAGGATCTGAGTTTGGTTGCCAGCATCCATGCTGGGAATCTTACAACTGTCTGTAACTCAAACTTCAGAGGATCCGATGTGGGGCTGGAGAGATGACTCAGCTAGCCATCTCTCCAGCCCCCTGAAAAATAAATCTTAAAGTTTAGAGAGAAGGGCTTAAAGAGATAGCTTAGTGGTTAAGAGTAGGTCCTGATCTTGCAGAGGATCTGAGTTTGGTTGCCAGCATCCATGCTGGGAATCTTACAACTGTCTGTAACTCAAACTTCAGAGGATCCGATGTGGGGCTGGAGAGATGACTCAGCTGTTAAGAACACTGGCTATTCTTGCAGAAGACCTGGGTTCGAATCCCAGCACCCACATGCAGCTAACAACCATCTGTAACTCCAGTTCCGAGGGATCTGATACCCTCTTCTGACCTCCAGGAGTATTGTATGCATGGTGTGCACATGCATACATGCAGGCAAAACACTTAGACACATAAAACAAAAATTTTTTTAAAAAAGGGCAAGCATTGCTGAATAGTGAGACCCTGTCTCAGAACAACGTAATAGAAAGAAACAAGGAACACAGGCAATGGAATGGGGAAGTAGACCCAGAGCCTGATGGTGGGCCTGCAGGGTGAGGGAGGCACCTCTCGCCCTGTTCAAGCAGTCTGCAGCCTGGCCCTGCCTCCTAGGCAGGGACTCACCTTGTCCTTGAAGTCAGTGTGGTTCTGCAGGATGGCGCGCTGGTAGGTGCCTGTCCGAACATAGTCCTGCATCATGTTCTGCTGCTGGGACAGGTAGCCATAGAACTGGAATAGAAACACACCAATAGCACATGGCATGCAGCAGGACAGATGGCCTAGCTGACAGGCCATGTGATGGACAAGCTGATGGCATAAACCTCCCTCTTGAGGCCAAACACCCTCTACAGGCCCAAACCCCACGGCCGACTGTCAGCTACTCCAGAAAGGGAAGCAGGGGCCTGATGGCAGTCCCTGAGAGGGACACTGCCACTGCCATCAAGATGCCACTTGGACCTGGAGGCCACCCAGGAGACCACAAAATCTGCCATGGGTGGGGTTCTAACATCCAGGGGCCAAGTGTCCCATCTTAGGGCCCCAAAGAAGAAGAGGAACAGATGGAACAAAACCCCAAAGCTCAGAGTGCCAGGCAGATGAGGTGCAGTATCTCTCTGTAAGACAGGCCGGTCAGGAGGCAGTGTGGCACCTGGCAGGGCCATAGGCTTTGACATCAGGCAGACCTGGCTTTCCCATCGTGGCTCTGTTGCATAAAAGCTGTGTGACTTGGAGCAAGTCACTTAACCTCTCTGAGCCTCAGTTTTCTTATCTGTAAAATGGGGACAATAACAGCACTTACTTCCTTGAGTTGTTGGGAAGGTTCAGGTGCTTCTGGGCAGTGCCCGACACCCACCAAGGGTTTAGGACACTGCTATTATTCTGTCATTATGCTAAACACCTGGGGACCTGGGTGTCAAGAAACCCACTCACACCTCACAGATGAGGAAACTGAGGCCCAGCAAGCAGAAGACACCTGCCCGAGGCTATGCAGCTAGTAAAGTACAGAGCTAGGATGGGCCACGCATGTGGACCTACCCTATGCTTAATAACTGGCTCTCACTATGTAGCCCTGGCTGACCTGGAATGCACTATGTAGACCAGGC